CAAATGCAAAAGTACTGGAATGAATCCATAAGGATAGTCCTGTGTTTAAATCTACAAGTTTTTAATGTACAACCATGGTTTAGCATAAAGCTGGGTGGGGACATTTTGTGATTAGAAGAACCAGATTCGATTTCCTGGAATCTTCTGGGTGGAGTCATCCAAATCAATGAGGATATTGGATTAATACACCCTCCATAGATCCAAGTAGGCACTGGATATATACTTACACAGAGAATTTGGAGGGATGTATACTCACACAGAGATGTATACCTACACAGAGAATTTGAGTGTGGGGAGGCTTGTTAGCCATTGTTTCAGGTCCCTGTTTTGCCACTGCTAGTATGTGCCAAGTCCCTAACAACAGTGTGCAACCAAGGAAGCTAGATTCACACAGTCTCATTAATGACTTTTAACGTTGGGAAAACATGGCTAGGTTACAGAAACTTGGAAAACTTCTAACTTTGTAACAACCCTCATTCATTAGGGAGTACATTAAAACGGCACCCTCCTTGAGTTGTTTGATCCTCTTTCTCACAGACTCCGTAATGGGGAGACTGACACTGAAATGTCTGTTGGATCCCTGTCTGTCAGATTTTGAACATCTCCTTTCTTTCCCAGACTTTACCATACAACACATCGAATTAAGCAAGATGTCTGGGCTTGGAGAAAGACTTTTATTTTAGATCTTCCACAGTGATTATGATTGCTGGAAAAGGAAGACTAAACTCTCTCCCAGTCAGTACGGATGTGCTGATGAAAAAGACGTGATAGCTGACCTATCCCTTTGCATTCTCCTTTCCAGTAGAGGCATGGCAGTGCAGGAGAATTAGTGATGTTGGTGGTTAGTCATATATTTTTTGTGGGAGAAACCTGAGCATTTGTGGCAGAACAGAGATGAGGCCTCTGAGAATGTTTTTGTAGCTTGCACAAAGCAAATTACTATATAAACACTATAAACAGGATACATTTGGCATTTTATGAAATATTCTGGTCACAGACCATAATTGTAAGCAAACTAAAGCAGTTGGGTTACATCCATAGCAATGATTTCTGCAATGAACACATAAAAGATAATGAAAGATATGCAGCAGTTAAGTATGTGCAATTAATGTACCCCAAGGACTTATGACTGCATGTATCTTTTTTCCACATGCTCCAAAATGTTTGGACAGGTGTATATCCTCTTCATATTTTATATGCTCAATGCAGAAAGCAGTAACAGAATTTGGGTGCCATGTCCTACATATGAAGTGGGTTTTAAACAAAATGCAACATTAAACTAAAATGAATATTCGATGTGGGGAAGACAATCTGAGTTATAGTGCCCTAGATATTTCTAGTGAGGGGGAATATTTAAAACTGAAATAATATTTTGATTCCAAATACTGGTGATAACATAACTAACCCATTGGTTTGAAGATTGTATGTATGATTGCTTACTTCCATCAAAAATCTGATTTTTTTAATCAGCTCTGTAGGGAATTCCTATTAAAAGACAGTAGTTGATTTTTACCTGCTGATTTACCAAAAAGGTTAAAATGAAGAATGTCACACTGGCTTATTACCTTACATTAAGCTGCATTCCATCATATTACTGCTGCTTTACAAATTATATATAACTGCTTTACAAATCAAATAACATCTTAAATTAACAATCCCGCTGTGAATGAAAATACAGATGTACTGCAAAATTAGTGCAGGGCCATCTAATAAGTTATGCTTGCTGTGTCTTTAATCAAATCAATATGTAAATAAAACTTTCTCAGATGTTCTAAATGCAGGTTTTACTGGGAATCCAAAAAAGGTTTATGAAACGCATGATTTGTGTATTGTAAACAAGATCCTGCAACTTGTATTTTTTTGCAGCCATAACAATCCTATCTTTTCTTCCACAGATTGCACAATCACCAAGGGTTTGCCAGTGACTACAGAAATGATTTGTAAACAAATAAATTTGGCTGATTTTGTGCTTCTAGTTTTATGGGCTCTATAGTCTCAGTGGGATCTGCTGAAGGAATGGCTGCAGGAAGTCTTTATCCTACTCAGCTTTATTTTTTTAAAAGGAGACTATACCTTTGACAAATAATGTTTGTCATTTACTGTACTTGAAAGCAAAGAATAGAGAATGAACAGCAAATGTCTTGTTGCTATAGAGATTTGTTGGGTAACTGGGTAAGTTGCTATACAAATATATGTTAGGATTCTGTACATACACAACTCCAAACCAGTGAATAGACAGATACTGTCCTTGTAAAGGGCATTAAAAGGAAGAAGGGGAAGAAAAGTTTGAATGATGGAATGAGAATATTAGTATTAATTGTATTGAAAATAGATGAATCAAAGAATCTGATATGACCACACCTTTGGACCCAGTCACAAACACCACGCATAATAGGTGAAAAAAACTCTTCACACTTTCTGACTGAATAGATTGAATAGGAAAGCGGTCCCTGGAAACCCAAACTAGCAGACAATCTTCTGAGCTTTTCATTATCATCTACTAAAGCTGCACATCCTTAAGAGGACAAGAGAAACCTCACTGCAGTATACTGCAGTATGAATTGTTACAACCCTGTGTTTAATTACTGCCTAGGCCTATAGGGAATAGCTGACCTGAACATTTTACATTTATGCTAAATTGCATCTTCTCCATTAGACTGTAGCAAAGTCATTTGACAGAAGTGGATAGATGGATTTTTATCCAAGCCCAATGGCGTTTCATAGGCTTAGGCCCTTGGGTCACATTGCACATTGCTGCAGAAATGCTTTTAGAAGATCTCTTTTAAATGAGACATACCTAATCAAGAAGCGTTTCATGGTGTCTATTTAAATTCAGCAATAATTATTGTCAGTAGAATGGCTTTTATTTAAAGGGGACGGTAATTCCATCTAATGAGGGAGTCTTGTTTCTTTCTTTCTTTCTTTTTTGTTTTAACAGGGCAACTACTATCCTGTCCAAGACAGAGCTAAGAGATGACTGCCCTATCTTGGAACCAACATCCAATTTCAACATTCACCCCGCTGCCGTATTGCCAGGAGGAGAAAGGTAAAAAATGCAACAGTAAAAATAACGCTGAACCTAATAGCCTATTTAGGGAGGATGCCTATACAACATCCGAGATTACCTTTTCTTGCTTCTGAGAATCCTAAATCCTTTGATAGGTCACCCAGATTAATTGTTGGTATTTCTATGAGCTTTTCAGCATCAGGAAATGCAAACTTGACAGCCATATAAACCAATCCAGCTAAAGCAAAGCAAACCACATACCAATTCTCCACTATCTAGGCTCACATGTTTAGCTTACCATGATGTATGAACCTACTCATTAGAGCTTAGCACCATGGGAACCCATGCTTTTATGGCTTTGCGCAACAAACAACAGTTGTGAATCAATCCAGCTATTATTGTGTAGCAACATCAGGGGTGTCAATGCAGGGGGTGTCAAAAAAGTCAAGATGGCAGGTGTGACTG